CAGTTAGTTCAAAATATGGCGGCCAGGCTTCTATCGGGTACATCAAGGTGGAACCACATCACTCCAATTCTGCGGTCCCTCCACTGGTTGCCAATTGGTTTCCGGGCTCAGTACAAGGTGTTGGTTATCACCTTTAAAGCCCTAAATGGCTTGGGTCCAAGCTATCTTAGAGATCGCCTCCTCCCATATAATCCTCCCCGCGCTCTCCGCTCCTCTGGGAGGAATCTCCTGCAGCCTCTAAGAACTAGGCTTGCGGGGACCTCTCAGAGGACTTTCTCAGCTGTCGCACCCAGACTCTGGAACGGCCTGCCGGATGAGATCCGTCAGTTGACATCTTTAGACAGCTTCAAAAGAGCTGTCAAGACGGATCTCTTCCGGCAGGCCTTTCCAGACTTAAGGACCTGGCCCAGGAGTCTGGGACGTTGGAATTCAAGATTTGGGAACCCTTCTAAGGTTGTCCTCCAGCTTTTATAATATTAAGTTTACTGCTGCCAGTTTGCTACCTGCCGTGTTGTTTTATTGTTATTATAGTATTGTTTTAATTGATCTTCAGTTTAATTTGATTTTAAGGGGGGGTATCTGTTATATGTATGTAATTTTTAGCTCTGTATTTTTAGTGTGTTAACCGCCTAGATTGGTTCGCCACCAGGCGGTATATATATAAATAAATAAATAAATATATTTATTATTATTATTATTATTATTATTATTATTATTATTATTATTATTATTATTTTGTGGGCTTCCATTTTGGGGTGTTTTTCCTGGCACCCAGAGTTTCATTAAATTGGTCCCTGGACCTGCCCACCATCGCCCACCTCTGAATTACAGCTTTATAGCATAATGCATTTCATATTTTTGTTGTTAACATGTCTTCAGATCAGTTCCAGCTGGTGGCAACTCTTTCCCAGGGTTTTCTTGGCAAGATTTATTCCATGGCAAGGAAATAATTTGCACCCTGGTCTCCCTGTATCCTAGTCCAACACTCAAATCACTAGACTATACTGGCTCTCAGCTCCATTGATTCAGTGTTGTTCCTGTTACATGCCTTTGGCTCTGATTTGTGGCAATCCTCTCCTCGGATTTTCCTGGCCAGATTTCATCAATGGAGGTTTGCCTTAGCCTTCCTATGAGGTTGAGAGAGCGTGACTTGCCCAAGGTCTCCCAGTGGGTTTCCACGGCTGAGCTGGGATTCGAACCCTGGTTTCCAGAGTCATAGTCCAGTCCTCAAGCCACTACGCTACACTGGCATATTATATTATATTATATTATATTATATTATATTGTGTTGTATTATATTACATTATTGTTCTGTATTCCTTCAGGTTGGCTCTGTCTTACAGTGACCCTAAGGTGACATATCATGGAATTTTCTTGGAGGTTTGCCATGGCCTTCCTATGAGTCTGAGAGAGTGTGACTTGCCCAAGCTCATCCAGTGGGTTTCCCTGGCTGAACAAGGATTGAAACTCTGGTCTCCCAGTCCAGCACTCAACCCACGACACCATACTGGCTCTATACTTCCAATAATTTACTCAGGATTATTTTGGTGTAGTGGTTTGAGCATTTGGTCTATGTCTCCCAAGGCCTGGGTTCGAATACCCGCTTGGGATACAGAAACCCATTGGATGATCTTGGGCAAATCGCACTCTCTCAGCCTCAGAGGATGGCGATGGCAAACCCCCCTCTGAAGAAACTAGCCAAGAAAACCCCATGATAGATTTGCCTTCGGGTTGCTATAAGTCGGAACCAATTTGAAGGCACACAACCACACCGACATTTCTCATTATGTTCATTGGAGAGGAATATAGATCCAGGTACGTGGACGAAGGATTGCAGCGTTGTTCTCTGGCCTGTCTTATCCACTCTTTTCCTCCTCCTTAATCCCTTCCTTCCCTTGCTAATCCTATAAGACCCTTGGTAAACACAATCCGTTCTCTCTGCGTTCATTCTTTGCCCCCTCCTTTCCTCCTTCCCAAGCAGAAGCAAGAGTTCTTTGGAAATGCTTGCAGAGGCATTTGTATTCCGGTTTGGTTTTGCATAGAGTGACCGAGCTGTTTTTTGGTCTTTTTGATTAAAAGAACAACCACAACAAAACCCAGCATTTGCACTGACCCCTGGGCTTTGGGGGCTTTGCTCAGTGGCCACAAATGGCCTCTCTGCCTGCCCTGATTCTGCCCTTCATTGACCTTGGTTGGGTCTGGCCCTGGGAAGAAGGCAGGCTATGAAAATGATTAAAATTATTAAAAGGTTATTAGCCGCTCTGAGAGCCTTTGTGGCTGAAGAGCGGGTATGAATACTCCAAATAAAATAAAATAAAATAAAATAAAATAAAATAAAATAAAATAAAGATACCATAAAATCAAAGACCTTCTGCATCTTGCAAGATGTGCGCAGCTCCTTCATGGTAGGGATAGAACTAGTATGCCAAAATATTTGGAAAATGTGTTTCTTGAGTTTTGGGGATGGCCAAGGAGAAGCGTCCTGGACTGATGAGAATATTTGTAATTTGGGACATAATCTGCGCAAAAATTGCACGTGGCATTTGCATTTGTTTATTAATTTTTATTATTATTAATTTCATTTTTATGCTGCCTTTCTTCAAAAAAGGGACCCAAGGCAGCTCACAAGGTAAAAACACTGTAAAAACAATTTTCAAAACACAATTAATATAACCTGGCTTAAAAAAACCAATATAAAACAACATTTTTAAAGAATAAAAATATTAAAACAATGCTTTTGCATGGAAAACCAGATTCTCTGCACGAAATAATACTTTCTGTGCTAAATACATTTTCTGTGGGAAAACAACCGCATATGAATTTTGTGCAGAATTTGTCCCTGACTACAGCATTTTCTATGTTGGAAAACAGACTTTCTTGTTTATTTCTGCACAGATAACCAGTTTTCTGTGCAGGAAATGCCTTTTCTTGTACAGAAAATGCAGTTTCCTGCACAGAAATAGAATGCTTGAATTTTGTGCAGAATATGTCCCAAACTGCACAGATTCTCTGAATTTTGTGCAGAATTAATCAGAGTTGCATATAGCCTTTGCACAATTTTCAAAGATTTTCACACTACATGAAGGGGTGCAGGACTTGGACTCCGGAGATTGGGGTTCGAATCCCCTCTCATTGAGCTTGGGTGAGTCACATACTCTCAGCTGCAGAAAACCCAATAATAGGTTCACCATAATTTGGAAACGACTTGGAGGCATACAACAACAACAACAACAACAAGGATGAAGATGGCTAAAATTACTCATTGCTTCCGTCATTAATTAAATAACTGAATAATTATATTCCTACCTTTTTGTTAGAGCCCTGGTCCATCTTGCTTAGCATTGTCTCCTCTCTACCTGGCAGCAGTTGTCTAACATCTCAGCAAAAGAGAGAGATCCTTCCTAAAAACATAGAGTTGGAAGGACCTCTGAAGGCATTTAGTCCAACCCTTTGCCATTCCGGCATCTTACTAACAGATTCCTTCAAGTGGAGATGCTGGAGTTCCAACTTGGGTCCTTTCGCCAAAATAAATCTCTGGTTCCCAAAGTCATCTCTATAGGGAATTTTGGTCTGGATCAAATAATGCTATTCTTGATTTAGTTTTTTCTTCTTTTCGATTTCATTAGAAAGCTGGGCCAGATCTAACAAAATGAATTTCAACAGGGGGAAATGTAAGATACCGCATTAGGCAGAAAAAAAATGAAATGCATAGATATAGGATGGGGGCACCTGGCTTAAAAAGACTACGTGTGAAAGGGATCTAGGAGTCCTAGTAGACCCCAAGTTGAACATGAATCAACAGTGTGATGCGGCAGCTAAAAAGGCCAATGTGATTCTAGGCTGCATCAATAGAAGTATAGTATCTAGATCAAGGGAAGTAATAGTGCCACTCTATTCTGTTTTGGTCAGGCCTCACCTGGAATATTCTTGTGTCCAGTTCTGGGCACCAGAATTCAAAGAAGATGGATGTTGACACTATACGTGTCCAGAGGAGGGCAACCAAAATGGTGAAGGGTCTGGAAAGGTGAAGGGTCTGGAAAGTCCTATGAGGAGCAGTTTAGGGACCTGGGTATGTTTAGCTTGGAGAAGAGAAGGCTGAGAGGTGATATGATAGCCGTGTTTAAATATTTGAAGGGATGTCATATTGAGGAATGAGAAAACTTGTTTTCTGCTGCTCCAGAGAATAGGACCCAGAGTAATGGATGCAAACTACAGGAAAAGAGATTCCACCTCAACATTAGGACAGTAAGGGCTAGTCGATGGTGGAGTCTCCTTCTTTGGAGGTTTCTAAACAGAGGCTGGATGACCATCTGTCCCAGAGAGTGCTTTGATGGTGTCTTCCTTCATGGCAGAATTGGGTTTGTCTGGATGGTCCTTGGGGTCCCTTCCACCTCTAGGATTCTCTGATTCTATGTATTCCTGCATGGCAGAAATGGGTTGGACTGGATGACCCTTGGGGACTCCTTGAACTCTATGATTCTATTAATTTTTATCAGCGAGGTGCCAGCCAAATTTTTTACAGGCTCCCACATAACATTGAGGCTGTAGCCAGTGATGGGATTTTCTGTGAATTGGCCAGCTCTCTGAGCTTGTGGCTACTACCAACCATGCATCTTGTGGCAGTGAGTTCCAGAGTTTAATTGTGCACCATGCCCCCCAAACCTATCCCCCCCCCCCAATTCTCTCATTGTTTAGCCTTACTGGACGTTCCTGGATTTGAGTATTATAACGGGAGATTTTATTCCCACTGCATGCTGTCGTTCCCCTGCCCTGAAAAATATCCCACAAAGCAGATTGCAACGTTTAATGTTTTTAAAAAGATTTGGAGTATATGTGTGATGAATATATCTATAATGAGTATTTGTCCCCCCCTTCCCACTCTTGTTTTCTGAAGTCTATATTTCTGTGAATATTTCTGCAGAGTTTTGGTGCAGAGATTACAATTTAGCGATGGGAAGCAGAGGAGGTGAGAGCTGAGCTGCCGCACTTCTCAGCATGCGAACAAAGGAGGCAAAGTGTGGGATTGCGGTGTTGCTAAGACACTTGGTGTGTACTTAGTGCTCCGCTCTTAATTGCGGTGGGTTTGGGAATGCAGAGGATGGCTCCTGACCTGCTTGGCCCTCCTTTTGTGCAATGCAATTGCAGAGCAGGCTTCGACACAGAAACATAAAAGTAGGCTTGGACATAGAAGAAGGAGTGAAAATAGGAGGAAGGAATATCAGCAATCTGAGATATGCAGATGACACCATAATACTAGCAGAAAACCTCACAGACCTGGAACATCTACTAAGGAAGATCAAGGAAGAAAGTGCAAAGGCAGGCTTAATGCTGAACATAAAGAAAACAAAAATAATGACCACCGAGGAAGACCTTCACAAGTTCAGCCTAGACAATTAATAAATAGAAATAGTAAAAGAGTTCCCATACCTTCCTAATGTTGAGCTGGAATCTCTTTTGTATACTTTGAACCCATTGTTCTGTGTCCTATTCTTTGGAGCAGCAGAAAACAAGTTTGCTCCCTCCTCAATATTACCACCCTTCAAATACTTAAATAGGGCTATCATATAGAAATAGTAAAAGAATTCCCGTATCTGGGATCAAACATGGATAGAAATGGGGACTGCAGCCAGGAATTCAGAAGAAGACGAAGAATGGGGAAGGTGGCTATGAAAGAACTAGAGAAGATCCTAAAATGCAAAGATATACAA